TTTACAGATTTTTACAATCACCACCCTTTTTTTCCATTATGTCTGTAAAGTTCATTTTGATATTGTGAGACCGGGAGTTAACTTTTAACAAATTACAATGAACACTAACATGTTCAATATTCAGTGTAGGAAAACAGCAACTTTAAACTGATTAACAGAGAATATCGATTTTAAACAAGCAGTTGTAAAAAAATGGCATAATGGCAGGCAACATCATCTGACCTCTAATTTCAGCCCACAAAATCCCTGGCTGTCAGGTGATTCTGACTAATGACAACCCTCTGAGACTCTAAATGTTAACCAGAGACAACACCTTACTTCCAAGGAGAAGCTATTAAGTTCAAACTGCTGACCTTTTGGTGGTGGCTGTGTATTGCTGAGCCAAAATTAACTCATAGCTGACCATCTAGCAAGTTTTCAGAGGCAGTAAATCACACAAGAGGAGACTGTCCACCTTTCTCCTGCAGAGAAGCTGCTGGATTTGAACAGTGGGCCTTAGGTTGGCAACACAGCTCCTTACCATTACACCAGCAGAGCTACCTTCTAATTTCCTAACAGAGGAGACTCATCACCAACACCAGCTTCCCAAGACTGATTACTGTGAGGCCAGACACTCCTTCACTCATCAACCTATCAATTTTGATATCATTCACCACTTTGTTCATTCATTTGTTACAGTGGTCGCCCAGTAACCATGCTCACAGTTAAGGGGATTATTAGGGAGGTTACATGATACAAGTCTTCCATCTGGACAGTTAGCTTCCCTGTGCAGAGAGGCAGGCTTCTCTGTGGCCCTCAGCCTTATGGTCCCTTGCCTTCTTCCCTGCTCAGACAAATATTACAAACTCTTAATTTTGCTGATGTAAGGACTCAAAAGCACTCCATGTGGTCAGTAACCCCCTCAATGAACGCCATCTCTAAGATCAGTAAAGCTAGCAAGTACTTAGAGACACCTCAGTCAGCAGAAAGCCTCTTGCTCTGTGGAACAGGAAACCCACTGCTCGGTCTTATGTTGGTCTCCTGGTCCTGCCGCTGCCTCACACCTTTTTGTTTTTACAACTCTGCCTACTGGGTCGAGGCAGTGTTTTACACAGTTCTAGGAGTAATGTACCCCACACCCGGCTCCTCTCTGGAACAGCTGAATTTAAGGCTGGTAGGGTGGCAAAACAGACCAATCTTCACTTTAGAGTTCCATGTATTAATTGTGAATGATTTCATCATGTACCTTACTGACATTATTAGCAATCCTTCCAGTCTCTTGGTGGGTCATCTAGTCACTTCGGAATGGCCAAGGCTACTGTAGTTAGATGTCAGTGAGCTGACCACAACTCATACTGACCTTCAGACCAACACGAGACCCTTGCCATATCCTGTGCTGGCTTCATGATCACGCTCAAGCCCACTGTTGCCGTCACTGCGCCAATCAATCCTGAGTCTTCCTCTTTTTTGATGATCCTCTACTTTTATCAGCATGATGTCTTTGTCCAAAGACGGGCATCTCCTGATAGGTAACATGCCAAGTACGTGAGGTGAAGGTTAACCACTCCGGCCACTGAGGAGGACCCTGGCTGCACCTCCTCCATGAAAGATCTGCATGTTCTTCTGGCATGGGATGTTCAAAATGCTTCACGAACAACGTAAAGCAAAGGTATTCATTCTCCTGTCATCCTAAGGCACTGTTCAACTTTCACATGAAAATGAAGTAACTCAAAAGTCTATGGCTTGAGTCAGACACATCTTACCCTTTAAACAAACATCCTGGCTCTTTAGCACTTTTTAAAAGTCCCCAGCAGGTAGATCTGCCCGATACAATATGTCCTTTGAGTTCCTGACTGCTGCTTCCACAGGTGCTGACTGTGGGTCCTGGCACAATGTCAACTTTAATCTTCTCTCCATCTATCCTTATTTTGCCTACTAATCCAACTGGGAGAATTTTTGTTTTCCTGATATTGAGATGTCATCTGTATTACTTAATATGGCGCCTTTAATCCTACTAAATAATTCATCACATCACAGAAGCCGTAATTTTACTATGAACTGAAAGCACAATACAAAATTTTACCAGTGACTCTACACAGGCATGCTAGCTCCTAACCAAATAGCTGGCAGCTCCACAGGAGAAAAGCCAGACAATCTGCTTCCATGGCGATTACAGTAAAAAAGCCCCATGGAGCTGGCTTCATCTAAGCTGTAACACACAGGTCACCTGAGTCACACTGCCAACTCATGGCAACAGGTTTTCTAAGCTACATACTCTGACATTTTTAAATAACTAGAAAAGACAGACAAAAAACCAGCAGAACCAAGTATTTAGAATTCACTATTACCTTTACAAAAAGATTTTCCAGTTTTCTTTAAATAGGGTCCCATGATTAAATTATCAGAGCAGATTCACACGAGGTTACAAAAGACTAAGTCTTGTTGAGTTCACATGTTGCTGAAAAAGGTGCCCTTTATAGAGTTGACTACTAGCAAGCTTATCAACAAGCGATCTTCCACCACCCTCACAATCTTGGCTATGGTTGCAGTCACTATTGTCTATCTGTCTTGTTGAGGGGCTTTCTCTCTTTTGATGACTCTCCATTTTTCCAAACAAGTCCATATATTGTCTTGTAAAAATAAAACTCCTGATACTTTCCAGTGATTTCAGTATCACTCTGAAGTAGGGCTCTGGTACTATGAGGCTGGTACTATGGAATGGCTACACCTGGGGAGAGATTCAGGCCTACTCTCAAGAGTCTTCTCAATCCTAAAGGTGATCTGTCATCAAGTTTTCATCTTGGAACTGCAACACCTGGCCTGCGTTTGCTCTTCTGCCCTGTTGTTGTTATTGTGGTTAGGTACCACTGAGTCGAGTATGACCCATAGTGACCCTATCAACAACAGATCTAAACCCTTTTCTATCCTCTGCCATATGTACACCTCCAGATACATTAGAGCCCAATGTGGTAGTCACTCTATCAATTTACCTGATTGAGGGTCTTCCTCTCCTTCGCTGACCCTCAACCTTTCCGAGCATCACGTCCTTCTCTAAAGAACAGCCCCTCCTAACAACAGGCCTGAAGTATGTGTGGTGAGGCCTCATCATCCTTGCCTCCAAAGAGCACTCTGGCTGCACTCTCTCCAATACATACTTGTTTGTTCTTTTGGCAGTCCGTGGGATGTTCAGCACTTTTCTCCAAGCCCACAGGTCAAAAGTATCAATTCTTCTTCTGTTATCCTCATTTACTGTCCAGCTCTCAGATGTACAGCAAGTGACCACAAAGTCTATGACCTGAATCAGATGCACCTCAGTCTTCAAAGTGACATCTTTACCCCTCAACAATATGAAGAAGTCCCTAATTACAGACTTTCCCAGTGCAATATGTCTCCTGATTTCCTGATTGTTAATTATGGATCCAAGAAAGATGAAGTTGTTGACAGTTTCAATCTTTTCTCCATTCATCATGATGTTGCCTGTTGGTCCAGTGGTAAGAATCAATCTTTGTTTTCTTGACACTGAGATGCAATCCAGATCTTTTATCTTATGCAACAAATGCTTCACGTCCTCCTTACCATCAGCAGCAAGGCTGTGTCATCTACGTAACACAGGTTTTCGATGAGTCTCCCCCTCTGATCCTGATGCCACACATTAGTCTTAAGAGTCCAGCTTCTTGTATAATTTGCTCAGCATTCAGACTGAATAGGTATAGAAAGAATACAATCCCGACACATGCTTTTCTTAATTTTAAGCCATGTAGTGTTCCCTTGCTCTGTTAGCACAACAGCCTTCTGGTCTAGGTATAGGTTTCGCATGAGCAAAATTAAATGCTCTGAGATTCCCATTCTTCTCAATGTTATCTATAAGTGTTTATAATCCACACAGTTAAATGCCTTTCCACAGTCAATAAAACATAAATAGACATTCTTCTGATATTCTTTACTTTCAGTCAGGATCCATCTAATATCAGCAATGATAATACCTGGGGCCATGCCTCTTCCAAATTCTGCTTAAACGTCTGGCAGCTCCTTAACTATGTACTATTCTAGCAGTATTTTACTTGCATGTGGTATTAATGATACTTTTCTATAGTTTCCACATACCTTTGGCTCATCTTTCTTAGGAACAGAACAAATACGGACCTCTCCCAATGCACTGGACAGAAAGCTGTTCTCCAAACTTCCTGGCATAGACTGGTGATTTTTTTTTTAAGTTTTTTATTTATTTATTTATTTTATGTGTGTACCGTCAAATTGGATCTGACTGGTACAGGAGGCGATTGTTCCTCCCTCTTCAGCAGAGCATCTGGTGGACTTGAATAGACTGGTGATTTAATTAACAATCAGGTGTGGGCTGGAAGCCTCTTCTTTAAACCAATTAGGACCTGGTGGGCAGGCCTTTGTGATTAAAGGACAGAGGGTCTCTCATGCCTGGGAAGACTGATTTGCTATTTGAGTTACAAACTAAACAGTCAGGACGTTGTATTTAGGGAGAACATTGTTCTAATAGGTACAGCAGTTGTCTGTCAGTTTGCTGTACAACTTATGAATTGCTATGACAATGAAAGCTATGCCACTGCTGTGTCAAATAGCACAAGGTTTACACATAGTGGATAAGTTTTAGTAGAGCTCCCAGATTAAGACAGAAAAAGTAGGATTAACCATCCACTTCTTAAACAGCAGGCCTCTGAAAAATCAATTAACAGAAAACCCAAGCCATTTACTTAGAAACTTCCAAATAACAGGATATGCAATTCTCAACATGTGTATTTTTTTTAGGTAAATATGTCCATATTGATGCTGGGGATTATTTTACTAATTTTTTAAGAAGGTTTCCTTATAAAAGTAAAAGAGTTGATAAAGATAAAAAGGCATTGGGAACAAAAAGGTAATACAAAGAACAGCGAAATGCCTATTTTATGTGTTTCTTCTTGGTTTAATTAGCTTGACAAGGTAATTCTCAGTTCCATGAGAAGAATAAAGACCTCAACAGCTAGTCACTGACACACACAAAACCTCACCTGCATTGTTCCCAGTTCCTTTCTGCTTTTTTTCCTTGGCTAGTTGAATGGCTCGGTAATCAGTTCTTGCTGAACCCTCACTTTCCTGAGACCAAAGAAAAGTGTGTCAGTCATTAGATCTAAACAGCAGAGAAAAGGGTAGCAAGTGAACAACTGAAATCTAGAGAAGTCTTCTTTTTAAACAAATTAAAGCTTCAGTCATTATTCTAGGATCTCCAGCAAGGGAATTCAAAGAATCAAATGTCACATCCAATGAGTGATAGCTCAACACACTCAAGCGTTACAATATACATCACTTTATTATTCAGAGAAGCAAAGTTTATTCTTCCAGTCTAAAACATATGAAAAAAATCTCCCACATAGACACTGTTGTAAAATGAACTACACACTTCTCTGCTTCCTGAAATGAGCCTTCCCTTGGTGACTCAGAGTTAATTTACTATATTTCCCACATTTCCCAAAATATGCCACAAAACAGTATTTGTACAGCAGACTAGGGGAGTTCCTATTTTATATACCCCTACAGAGGCCTCCCTGGCAGTAGGCATTATACTCAAAAGCCTCATCTACCAAATTAATTTACTGAATTCAGGAAGTTTATTACTAGAGCCCGACAAATGGTATTCAAACAGATTTCAACTGTTGTCAAACTATGTATGTTTTATAAGAAATGCTATAGTTTAACAGTTACCGTTTTACAGAAGAAAAGGGGCAAAGAACCACCCTCCACAGAACGTGGCATACCTGAAACCCATTCACCATACACCATTTGTATTCAGAGATGCAAGGCTGCCCAAGGTCACACAGCTAGCAAGAAAACGAACAAGGGGTTAGGATCAAGGCCTTGCTAGCTCTTACGGCCTTCACCCGCAGATCAGCTCTGGCGGTGAAGTGGGACACAAGACAACTACCAATGCACCGAGCCCCAGCACGGAGGCGCTGAATTCTTCCCCCATCTCTGAACTCCAGTCCTTCTCCCAGTTCCTGCCTGTTTATCTGTCCACTGAGCAACTGTTGTGGCAACGTAAGTGCATTTTAGGAAGCTATGGCTAAATAAAGTGGCAAACTAGGACACCAGAACAGGAAAGACAGTAAGACTGAAAAATAAAGCAAGCTAGCGCCATGCTAGGCTATTCACTAGTTACCTTAGGATTCACTCTATTCAAAAGATAAAATGTTTTGCACAATATAAATATCACCATCAAATTTAACTTGTGCAACAAGGAAAAGATCTGATCATTCCCATTTAAAACAGAAGAAAAATTCTTCTGAGAATCTTTAAGTTACATTAAAAGTGTAAATGATATATAAATATAATTAAAATACATTAAATATTCGGCCTCAAAATTAGAGTACATTCCCCTAGGAATGAAGGTCCACAAACCACTCTCTTTTTTCTTGTTTATCTAAATTTGAAAAAACATTTGGCATGGTTTTAAAGTTTCTATTAAACCTTTAAAGATGGTCTATATCGTGATTCCTCCTCTGGTCACTAATATTAATTCTAAGGTCATTTTATCATGTGAGAAGCACAGAAATAAAATATTTCAACATTACGAAATAATTCCAATTTTTTTCAGAAGAGTACATTATCGTGGAATCACAGAATTCAACAGGGCTCAGAAATCACCTAGCCAAACCCCTTCATTTTAGAAATAAGCAAGAATTTAAGGCTTAGATATGTTAAGTGATTTGCTCATAGTTGTGAAAACTAGTCAATTCCAGACTCAAGATCAAAACTCAGGTATCCAGAGTTGTAGGTCAAGGTTCTGTCCACTTGTAACCCAGTAAGAAATGTCTGCATATAAATGATTAATCCAGAAAAATCCTCACAATTGTTGGAAGAAGAGTAGGTTATGTGTGCTGAGTGAATATAGTACTTCATACCAAATACAAGTTGCTGGGCAGCGCACTGAGGTCTGTCTCTTTGTGAGCGCTGGAACCTCCTGCATGAGAGAGCACAAACTGGGTGTCCACTTTGCCTCCTTCCTGAAGCCCAATATCTGGGTCAGGAGGCAAGTTCGGTTCCACTTTAATTGGAGCCAGCAGTTCTGGCACGCAGTTGTTTCCACTGGGGCTGCTTGAAGAGGCTGATGTGCATATATTCAATGTTGAACTGCTGCTGGAAGTCAAGGCATGTGGCTCTTGACTCAAATTCTTTTTCACAGGCAGAGGTACCAAACAACCTAATGCTTCTGCACTTACAGTCTGCACATCATCTGGACTTAAGTTGCTCTGCTGAAGAACTGTGGCCATTGATCCAAGCATGAGAGGGCTATCCAAACTGGGAGAAATGTCACTGTTGGCCACCAGGACCAAGGGGTCCATCTGTCCCAAGGAACTGTTGTTAACAGAAAGATTCCCTCCTAGAGATGAGCTCACAGAAGTAACATCAATAGTCAAGATCCCAGAGTTCACCAATGCCATGTCCGATGCAACTGCAGAGCTATTACTGTCACCAGATGCATTAGAGAAGAGAGACACCAGGTCTATGTTATTAAGCTCGCTCTGTCCTGGGCTGGTAAGTTCACTGCTGGGTGTAAGAGAACTTGCAGCTTCTAACTGAGTTAAGAGATCTGAAACAAAGAAAGTAATGAATTTTTCAGTTACTTTATGACCTTAGAAGACTGAGAAAATGTGTATTTTGGAGGTGTTAGCAAATGATCACGAAAGCAAATGGACCTTGCTGCCTAGTTCCCAGTAAGTGGACACCCTGTCTGGCACTTCAGAGGGGACTGACACACACAATTAAAGGAACAGAATGTTCAATGGGGTGACTGTCACATGTATTGTCTCAAATTCTCAAACTGACAGGGATTCTTTCATACAGAGGAAATAACACAAAACAGAGGAAATAGCTTTTGCAAAAGTCACCTTGCATTAAATGGCAAGATTTGAAGCTCTATCTTTCAAGTGTCAAAGCTTGTAATCTTTCTTCTACACACAATAGCATCTATCCTTGAAAAGAATGAAAGTTTTCCATGAGTGCAAGCTTTCCTGTTAGTATTAGGTTGTGTCAGCTGTGTATCAACAAACTCTATAACCTTACTCCATAATCCAAAATTGTCCTTAGTCATCTCAGGTGACCAACAAGAAGAAACAAACCAGCTAGGCAAATGAGAACATCTTAACCAGATATACAATCAGCACTGGGCTGACCTCAGTGTTCTGGCTTTGTGTCCAGTTCAAAGACATTTTCTTTTGTGGACTCCCCATCCTATTTCCACTTTCGCTCTTCGACCTGAAGTACCTTCTTCCTCCTGCCTTCAAAGCAGTAACTACCTTAGGAGCAAAGCTCTCTCTATATGACATGCTCATATTGCTGACATAAAAACCAATAAAACTAAATCCACTGGAGTCACATCTGCTAAACAAACTATGTATCTGAGGGCTTTCATTTAGCACTCAAATTATCTTCCCACCTTAGAGATGAGGAAACAGGGCTCAAAAAGATGTCATATAATTGGGAAAATAGTCCTCCATTCAGGCTTATGCTCTATGTACACCAGACAATTAAGAAGGGCCTGGTTAGTGACACACCCATCTCTGACAACAACCCAAGAGAGCATGGTCTGAGTGTACTAGCCCCCACCCTGGAACAGGTACAGAGAAGGAGCCACTTCTGCTAAGACCCACACAATACTGTCTGGAAGACTTGTGGACAAGGTCCCAGGGGCAGGTCCCACGCCATCATGTTGAGGAATGTCTGACAACTATGCCCTTGAATCTTCCCCACTCCACATATCTATCTGGGCCATTATACTCTGTTCTCTCCATGATCTCTCCACTCCAGGTCTTCAGACCCCCAACCAGAGCTTAAAATTAAGCATAACTCTATTCTCAACTATAATGGCTTCTTACATTTTAGAAGAAACAAATATCTTCAGCAGTCTTAAGTCAACTTCATGTTGAAAATGGGTCCATAATCTTATCTGAAGGGCCAGGTTTCACCAGAGTTGAATGTTAAGACTTACAACACTGAATTTATAAATACGGGGGGAGGGGGGATACAGATGTAAAAGCAGAGAGAGGCTTAAATGCCACTGCTCAGAAAGAGTAACATGTCTTGGAAAGAGAGGAGTCAGAGGTGAAGGAAATGAAAATAGTGGATGGACAGGCTCAGAATTTAGGGCAAAGTTTACAGAGGACCACATAAGACTTAGGAGAGAGATGCTAGGGAGCTCTGATGGTCTAGGCTTGCAGTTCAAATCATCAATTGCCCCACAAGAATAAGATAGGTAGTCTCCTCCTGTGCTTTTTACTGCCTCTGAAAACCCACTGAAGTCTCAGCTGTGAGTAGGTTACAACTCTATAGCACATAACAACAACATCCCAGGGGAAAAAATCAACAAAGTAAAAGACTGAAAATTCCTTAAGGAAAACATTTTAAAGGCAAAGGAAGAGCAGAGGTCAGAGGCAGGGATATGGCAGGATCATCCAAAGAGAGCCCCCTAGGCTTAGTAACCATGGTCCACTGGCTGGTAAGACTATATCATATCAGAACAATTTGAATTAAGAACTGGTATAATTTCTGAAATAAGGAAGGAGTGACCTTTTGCTTCTCTCGTGCTCATTTGTCAAGCACATGCATTTTTCTGCAGTGTTAGAGATGTATAAAGTACAATACCTTGGCGCAAGTTGTGCTGTTTGACCACATGAGTCTTCATGCTGTGTTTGGACGTAAACTGTCGATTACAGCTGGAGACTGGGCAGCGGCTTTTGGAAGCATCCACGTCCTGGAGGTGCTTCTTTGAGTGAATGTACAGACTGCTGCGAGCAGAAAACCGAGCACAGCACCCTGGAATAAGAAGGGAGAAAGAATGTGATGCTTGAAGGTTTTCAAGAAACCGGTATCTCGGAACAACTCGGGAAAACAGAGTGAAAACAGATGCACAACTCAAAGAATGCAATCAATGTCTAATGAGTTATACATGTAGAACCCGTTTATTTTGCTGTGTATATTCTCAACAACGTAGATAGTATTTTAAAAAGAAGAAACCAACATAACCATTTCCTCATCACTTCAAAACAGTGAGGTTTTTCTGAGGATTAGGGTAAGGATCAACAGCACGGACTCAGGATCAGGATCAAAAAGTAAGTAAAGTGCAGGCAGCTTTATCATCTGGGCGAGACACTAGGCATTCCTACCCATCATGCTATACCCCTATTGGCTTAGCAGGCTTTTTCTTGGGCCCCTGATCCCGCTACCTATCACTATAAAGGGCTTTCTGTCTTCAACATTATAGCCATTGACTACTGTTACAAATGTTTTAGGAGGTTCCTTGCAGGCTCCCTTCTCCACTTCCGTCTTCTTGCTGTTACTTCTCCATCCTGCTTCTGTTTGAAAAATCTAAAGAGTTAGCTACTTACATAACTCAGCTCCCTATCAGCTTTAAGGCACTGGCCCCTCGCAGCATAAATGACCAATCCTTTCTCAGTAGGTGACCAAATACTTCATTTGCATAACAGCCCATCACTGTCTCACTTATATGGTCAACTGCCCAATCTCTGCAAGATACACACCAATCACAGAGTAGGCTACAGTCCAGGGCCAGCAAAATGGATCAAGTTATCCCGTTTTACAGTTTTCCTAGAAAATATCAATCCACCTGGACAAAAATAATAAACCCTCTGGGGTAGAAAATCAGCCAAAACTACTTCTCAGGGTTTAGGGTGAGAAATCTTTCAAGCTGTTTTTACAAAGGACTTCTTTCACTAGAACCTCCTGTACCTATCACCCAGACTCAAGAATTATCAACAAAATACAAAATTTTTTAAAATTGAAATTCTAAAGAAATTCTCCAAAATGATTCAAAGAATGTATAAAAAGTCAGTAGTCTACATTTCTTTAATAGAGTAAGACTAGGAGCTTTCCTCTTGAAACTGTGAAGGGTGCCTGTTGTTATCACTTCTACTCAATTGTGAATTAGAAGTTCTCTAGTCTGAGCAGTAAGACAAGAAAGACAAGTAAGATACCCAGATTCAGAGAGACGTAAGCCTCTCTCTACTTGAGATTATGTGATCCTACATACAGAAGACTCCAAGGAGTCTGCAAGAAAACTGTTGGAGCTAAGACAGAAATTTAGCAATGTTGTAGGGTAGTTTACATGCCAGCGATGAGAAATCAAAGAGAGAAATTAGTGAAACAATTCCACCTAAAACCTCAGCTCAGATCATAAAGTAACTAGGAATAAATCCAACTAGGGATATGAAGGCTTATACGCAAAAAGAGATAAATTATGAAATACAAAAAGAGCTTAAGAAAAATGTGAAACAAAAAAAGGATGCTCTGTGTTCTTGGGTTGGAAGGCAGGATAGATTCAATGCAATCCCAATCAAATCTGTTCCTCTCCAAGAACTAGTCCCTCCTTGCAACATGCCCAAAATATGTCAGACAAAGATTCAGAATCTTTGCCTCCAAGGAGCAGCCTGGCTTCACTCTCTCTAGGACGAACCTGTTTGTTCTCCTGGCAGTTCGTGGTATATTCAATACTCTTCTAAAGCACCACAGCTCAAAGGTATCAACTCTCCTTCTTTCATCACTAGTCATTGTTCTGCTTTCTGATGTATAGCCAGTTATTGGAAAGGGACATCATGCTTGGGAGGGTGGAGGGACAGCTCAAGAGAGGAAGACCCTGGATGAGATGGACTGACTCAGTGACTGGGATAATGGAGGTAGGTGTGTCAGAAATAATAGGGTTGCCTCAGGATAAGCCGGGTTCAGAGCTGTTGTGCACAGAGTCACTGTGAGTTGCAAGTGACTCAGTGGCACATAACAATCAAAATTTTTAAAAAGGTCTTCTTTACAGAAATTTAAAAAACCCTCAATTTTATGTGAAATAGCAAGAAGTCTCAAACACCTAAAGTAGTGTGAAGAAAAGGACAAAGCAGAACGAGTCATATTTCCAGATTTTTAAACATAATTTACAGCTACTGTAATCAAGACAGCCATTTATAAAAAGTCACATAAATCAATGGAATAAAATCAATTCAAATAAGTGCAAACTCATTGCCATTTAATCAGAACTAATTCACAGTTCACCATCCATTGTGTTTCTAAGCCTGTAAACCCAATGGATTTAGTTACCTGTTTCTTGGTGGAAGATCTATCAACAATCTGCGTTATGCAGATAACACAACCCTGCCTGCTGAAACTGAGAAGGACCTGAAGGGCTTCCTGCAGAAGTTCCAGGACTGCAGCCTCCAATATGGATTGAGAAGACAAAGATTCTCACCACTGGGCGGCCAAATGGAAGCATCAGGATGGATGATGAAGAGATTGAGATTGTTCACAGCTTCAGTTTGCTTGGCTCCACAGTCAACACTCTTGGCACCAGCAGCCAGAAAATTAAAAGGCACATTGCCATGGGAAAGTCTGCTGTTAGGGACCTCTCCAAAGTATTGAAGAGCAATGGTGTCTCTCTGGAGACTAAGGTGCATCTGATACAGACCATGGTCTTTGCAATCACTTGTTATGCATCAGAGAGTTGGACAATGACCAAGAAGGATAGAAGGAGAACTGATGCCTTTGAACTGTGGTGCTGGAGAAGAATACTGAGACCATGATCTGCTAGGAAAACAAACAGATTCATCATGGAAAGGGTTAAACTGGTTGGATCCTTTGAGGCAAGGATTCTGAGGCTCCATCTAACATACTTTGAACATGTTGTAAGGAGAGACCGGTCCTTAGAGAAGGACATCATGCTTGGGAGGGTGGAGGGCAGGCGCAGGAGGGGCAGGCCCTCTATGAGGTGGATTGATTCTGTGACTGGGATAATTGGGATGGGAGTGTCAGAGACAGTGCGATTGGCACAGGACAGAGCAGAGTTTAGAGCTATTGCACATAAGGTCACTATGAGTCACAAGTGACTTGAAAGCACATAAAAACAACAACTTGTTTGTTGAGGAGCCTCTGGTGGATTCCAACTACTGGAGAGGTGCGGAGTTTGGGTTAGCAGTGCTCCTCTCTACAAACTTGAGAGTCCAGAAACAAGCCCACATATCCACCAACTCAACTCAATGACATTAAGTTAGAATCAACTCACAATGAAGCCTCCATTGCACAGGAAACAGGCTATCTTTATCCAGTGAAACACTTGCCTTTCAGTTAGCAGCACAACATCCTATGGACTATGCCACCACAGCTCCCTCACACATCCATGTCAACTAATTTTTCACAAGTATACTGTTAAGTTCAGAAGTTCTGGTAGCCTAGTGGCAAGAAACTGAGCTGCAATCCCAAAGACACACGATTCAAATCCAGCAGCTTCTCCACGGGAAAAGGATGGACAATTTCCTCCAGTGTAATTAATTGCCTCTGAAAACCTGCTGGGGGGGTCAGTTTATGGGTCAGTTCTGACTCAACAGCACATAACAACAACAACAACAAGTGCTAAGTTCATTCAGTGGGAAAAGAATATTCTCTTCAACAAATGGTGCTAGGGAAATTGGGATTTCACATGTAGAAAACTGAAAAGGATTCATGCCTCATTCCATATACAAAAGCAAATTAAAAGCCTAAATGTACAAACTGAAATCATAACATTGTAGAAGAAAATGCAAGGGGAACACTGTTAGGCTGAACTTTTACCAAGGGATTATCTAAAATAATAACAAAAGCATAAAGAGTAAAAGATAAATTCTTTTTTTTTTTATTTCTTGTGTACCAGCAAGTCGGATCCGACTGGCACAGGAGGAGACTCCCCTCCTCTTCCAGCGGACCATCTGTTAGATTCAAACCACGTGCCTTCAGGATGGCAGCGCAGCTTCTAGCCATTAGGCCACCACAGACCCTTGAAACTTAAAACATTTGTTTATCACTTATCTTTACCCAAAAAAAGTGGGACAATATCTTCAGAAACAATATCCCACTGTCACTGAGTTGAATCTGACTCAGCAAACCTGCCATCAGGTAAATCTTTAATGGAGAAAGAAGACTGTCAATTTTTCTCTTGTGGAACTGCAGGTGGATTCAAACTGCCAAACTTTGGGTTAGCAGCCCATCACAAAACACACTTCACCACCAAGGATAGTTATAGCCACTATTTTAATCAAAGATTCTACAAAAAAATTTTTATCAACAGGAAAAATGTAGAACAGAATTTCAAATTCTCCTGGACTTCAGACTTCTTAGAGTCATGAAAGTTGGTTAAACTCCTGAAATCATTACTCAGAAATAATTTTTAAACTTTAAATCAAAAATATTTCCTTATGTCATCAAAGCAAAAGCTTTGCTTAATTCAGTCTGTGAGTTCCTGACCCTAAGACTAACTCAGAACTTGCCTCACAAGAGTCAACAACCCTAGGACAGAGCTGGTAAGGCAGCAACAATCACATACAAAATAGCTTTTTGTTAAAATTATGCCTTCAATACTTTATAAAAGAAAATTTTCATAACACCCTTTTAAAAACTTAAGACAGCTTAACTGCTGTCCAACTGCAATGAATTTTACTGAGTCCTTACTATTTGTCAAATGTCATAATAGGCTTTTTTTTTGCTATTCATTATTTTTTGTAATCCTCAGCCATACTTACAGTGAGCGGTAGGGCTAGGTATCAAAACTAGAATTTATTCCAACTCAGAGACTCTATTAAACAGAGGATAAGATCCCACAGTTTCCCAGGCTATAATCTTAATGGGAGCAGACTGCAAAATTTTCTACCCTATGGAGTCAACAGTGGGTTTGATCTGCCAACCCTTTAGTTAAAAGGTGCATGCTTAACCACCATGCTCCCCAAAACAATTAATGACTCAACTTTAGAACTGAAACTTACCTTGTCTTTAAGCAACAAAAATGCAACTTTAAATAACTTAAACTTACACACATCTAAAGCACAAAGCAATGTTTTCAACTGTACCTTCCACAGGACACTCAAATGGCTTTGTGCCCAGGTGAGTTATGCTGTGGCCTTTCAGATGCTCTGCCCTTGTGAATGATTTCCCACAGCCTTCCACAGGGCAGGTAAACCTCCGGTCGTCATCATGTTTCCTGACAGGAACAAAAAAAAAGGGAACCGTGATTATTCGTACAACTCAAAGATCACCGAGATAATTCTGTTTAAAACAGTCAAAGAAGAAAGTAACAGACAGCTCACTTGGATTTGAAGGTTTCTCTCTGCCATGAAATGAAATATTAACCATAAACATTTTTGACCAAATCCTGCCAGTGGCTTTTTCAACCAAAGCTAAAAATCTTTTCTCTTCTGTTTGAAGCCTGGTTTACTCAAATTTCAAAAGGTGTCATGATTGCAAAGAATTCTGGCAATGTAGTGTATGCATTACCTATTGGGACAGTAACTGAAAAGTTGAAAGTTTGAATCCATGAGCTGCTCTCTCCCATAAAGACTTGCAGCTTCAAAAAGTAACATGTGAGTCAGAATCAACTCAACAGCAGAGGCTTTAGTTTTGGCGTGTCTCACAATTGCAGGCAGGAAGAAGGCAGAAACTACCATGGACCTGCAATCAGTTTGTTTCAGTAAATGAGAAAGGGCAGTGTTCACTCATCTTAAATTCAGCCAAACATTTATCTTCTCTTCCTCCTCCTCTTACCTCTGAGCTATTCCCTTATTTTCCACAATCACAATGGTTTCCTGGTGTTCATATATTCTAACTGCTCAAAAGAAACTTGATGCTTCAATTTATTTAAACTTTGAACATATTTTTAAAAAATGAGATGGACTGACTCAGTGACTGGTAAAATGGAATTAGGTGTGTCAGAGACCATGAGATTGGCTCAGTATAGGGTAAGGGTCAGAGCTAATGTACATAGGGTTACTATGAGTCCCAGGTGACTTGATGGCACATAACAACAACATACCAAATTATTAGCTTCATGCATTATTTTTTTAAAAAAAGTACATTTAAAAATTCTGAATTCTGTCTCTAATCTATGTGAGATTTGCAATTTAGCGATGCCACAATTAAAAGTTCCACTTTAATGACAAAACTAAGTGTCAGAAACAGGTTAATATTACAAGTCCCAAATATATTGATGAGGTTTCTTCCACTGTTTAAAAACTCCAGATGATAAACAAGCTTTTCCAGCTTCACATTCCAGTTCAACGAGACATGCATTCTGACTTCACATTCTAAGTCTTAAAACCAAAACCCCAAATCCATTGTCCTTGAGCTGATTCTGACTCAGAACAACCCTCCACCTGGTTTCTGAGATTATAAACTTTACAGGAGGAGACTGTCCATCTTTCTCCCACAGAGCAGTAGATGGAGTCAAAACACCAGCCTCTCAGTCAGTAAGCCAGTACATAATGCACTACATTACCAGGGCTCCTTGTACGTCTTAAAGCCAACAGGGAAAGATCGTATTTTCCTAAGTAATATTACTATATTAAATCCCTCAACCTCTGGCATGTTAAGTTTGGATAAAGCATCTAGTCTCATTGAATCTCAACATAAATCAGAGGATGACAACAACAGCCTCAATATTGTGAAGGTCCAGTGAAGTAATACAGGTGTTTCAGAGTTGTGTCCACAGCTGCACTAAGAACCCAAAAGACTGGCTGGAATTTACCAGCAGTTCGGGAGGAGAAAGATGGAGTCTCTCCCCAGGCAATTTAGTCTCTGAAAACCTGCTTGAGGGTTGGCTATGAATCTATTCCAACTCAACTGTGGTTTTCGAGAACCATAGGTTGAGTCCTCCAAGTGGCAGTCAGATCACTATGAAGTGTCCATATGACATTTTTTTGTGACTGAGTCAGAATCAACTCATAAGGCGACCCTTCAGTGGGTTTTCAGGGGCAGCAGAGATGACAGAAGGAAAACTGATGCCTTTGAGCTGTGGTGCTAGAGAAGAGTATTGAATGTACCATGGACTGCTAAGAGAACAAACAGATTCACCCTGGAGAGGGTGAAACCACGCTGCTCCTTGAAGGCAAGGATTCTGAAGCTTCATCTGACATACTCTGGGCATGTTGCAAGGAGGGGCCAATCCTTGGAGAGGGACATCATGCTTGGGAGGGTGGAGGGAGGAGAGGAAGACCCTCGATGAGATGGATTGATTCAGTGACAACAACTTGCATGAGAGGAGATTGTCCATCTTTCTCCCATTGAGGAGCTGGTGGATTCAAAACATGTGCCTCTGGGCTGGCAGTACAGCTCCTTACCACAGAAAGACCTAATTTACAATGCTTAAAATTACAGCATTTACATAAGTATACAATGTTGTTGTTATGTGCTGTCAAGTTGCCTGAGACGCAAAGCGGCCCTATATATACAACAGCCCTAAACCCTGCTCTATCCTACGCCAATCTTACTGTCTCTGATACACCTACCCCTATTACCCTAGTCACGGCAGAATTATATGTAATGTATACAATTACTTCAAAATGCAAGATTATGTATCACATATACAATTACATAACAGTAATCATTTACAAATTACAGAAATAAAGATTTATATACAAACTACATAAGGTTTTAGGGGGTTTTCCCCTCACAAAAAGCACATACTAAAAAAATTCTTTTTAGGTGATGAGGTTGTCAGTGACTTTCTTTTTACAGTTTCTTGAATTTTTGCAAATTTTCTAGAGTGAGCCCCAAGTTTTATTACTTAAAACTACATAACATGCCACAAAGAGGGCATTCAAGTAAAAAAACACATGCATGAATAGATTTTCCTGATCACTGTCATTGTTGTTATGTGCCGTCAGTTTGCCAAAGAGTTAATCTGGAATCACAGCAACCACCGTGTAAGACACGGTTCTCTCCCTCTCTGGTGGCCTAGTGTCAAGAAGCTGTGCTGCAATCCTGGCGGCATGTGGTTCAAGGCCACCTGCTGCTCCACAGGAAAAGGACGGGCAATCTCCTCCTGTGTGATTAAATGCCTCTGAAAACCCACAGAGGGTCAGTGATAGCACTGGGACTCTGGAATACAATGATAACAGAAAAAACAACAGTGCTTCCAAGACTGTAACCTTTACAGAAACAGAACACTGATTTCTCTCATGAAGCAGCTGGTGGATCTGATCTGCTAATCTTCTTCGGATCAACAATTGAGCACGTTAACCACTGTGCTACCAGGGTAGCTGCCCATTATCTATTAAAAAACTGTCAATGCTCTCAGACTCAGAACTAATTCTTTTCTGACCTTTCTGTGGGTTTCAGGAAACTGTACATCACACGGGAGGAAACTGCCATTCTTTCTCCCTCAAAGCTGCTGGGGGATGGATTCAAACCGCCAGAGAGGCGTCACCTTTGGGTTAGCAGCACAACTCCCTACAGACCAGGTTCCCAGAGCTCCCTCAGCTACTAAGAGCACACCTACCATTTTTTACTGCTGTATTTACATAAGGGAGATGGTATCTCATTTTAGTTTTGATTTACTGCTCTCACTGATCTATTACAAATGAAAACTAAAGTGCATTATCAACTTACCCATGCAAGTACAGCACTGGAAAAAAAACTTTTAATGAAATTAAAAGCAACAAAGGTGGCAAAGGTAAGGAAAGATTGAAACCCTTATCCACTTTACAGGACTGTAAAATGTACCACCACTACAGAAAATGGTATGGCACTTTTAAAAGAATCTCTGTTGTTTTTGTTACACACTCTGTCTCTCTTGTTCATTAAGAAGGCACTTGTACTGCCCAACTTTCTCCTACAGACCCCAAGGTATTCTAACTGCCTGAGAAGTTGTGGTCTATGGTGAACAATGGAACTCCTTACAGGCTACACCACCAGAACATCCTCAAAAATACCTTATGATCCAACAATTCCACTTCTGGAGATTAACAAAAGTGATACAAACAGATACATACATAGCTATGTTCACCACAGCATTATTTAAAACAGCAAAAAGATCAAAGCCACTTAGGAGTTCATCAATGGATGAACAGATAACCAAAATGCAGTACAGAGAAACAATAAAAGGACATTTCTCAGACTTTAAGAATAATTATGAGTACCTGAAATATCATAAAACATGAATAAATCTGGAAGATTATGCTAAGTGAAATAAGCCAATCATAGCAGGAAAGAGGTCAAGGCTCATGGATGGTTCGCAGAGATGTGCTGAGGGAGTAGCAAGCGGAAGCTCTCTCAAGCCACTAATTATGGTGACAAGAAAAATGTCATCAAATATGGGCGCATACTTCTTATGAGGTAAATAAGGTCTATCAAACTGTATAGGAAGGATGTCTTTAATAATGGGTGTAACTTGGTAACACCAACAAATCCCTAACAGATTTATGTACAAAGAGGTATGTGTGTGCATGTACATATAGCTATCTACATAACAAACCACACAGCAGACACAGGTATGGATATTACTGAGACAATCTAAATACTTTGTGAGACGGGTTTTCTGGGTTTGAAGACACAGGACCACGTTTTTGGGCATAACTCAGTTAATAATAGTTTTAGAAAGTATATGTTCTACATACCAAGGCGGTGAATAGTGCTTGAGGTCTCAAAATGTCAAACCACTTTATGGGTGGTTGAATGAAAAACTAACTTGCCTTGTAAATTTTCATAAAATTATAATTTATTTTTTTAAATTCCACAGAATAAATTAAAGAAATTTCTGGAGAAAGTAGCAGACTAGACAGGTGAGACTATAGACACTACTGAATAAAAAGACACTAAAACCAAAAATAACAGATATGGATGTTTATACTGAAACCCTGAAACAAAGATGTACTTTACAGACAGAATGAAGAAATTCAATGAAAACACTGAATAAGACAACAGAGTACAAAACCATAAACACTGCAGCATGGCCATTCTGAATAGCTGGCTGCTGGGCAGGGAAACCCAGGGATGCGTGGTACACACACCAGCAGCTAGCTGGCCTTCTCCTCCATGGCGTTCCAGAGATCAGGCATGTGACCCTCCTCTACTACCATCACCACCAGGTAGTGGCAGCATTCCTCTGGCCCACCCCAGCGCCACCCGAGGCCAGACCAAGCCAAACTGTTTCTGGTATCAGGAGAGTGTTCAGGTCTCTACTTCCAAAGACTCCCTGCAGGAGTGGGT